TAGATGATGAAGACTTGTAATGTTTGCATCTGGGGACTAACCTGACACAAAGTGCTTGTACAGAAGTAGCAGGTATGAGCTTCATAGTTGTAGTAGTGCAGATTGCCTCAGATGTCTCACGAGTGGAGGAAACCCTGAAGGAATTGGAACAGCAATGACAGAATTAAAGGAAAATACCTCAGTGCTGGTGCTGCCTTCCCTGGGCAGTTGGCATGATCCAAAAGACGTGGCTTACAGTTCATTGCCCCTCACTGTTTGCTGAGCACCTGAGATGAACAAGATACTCTTCTTTCTTCCTTGAACATCGTCCCCAGACAAGTTGCAGGCAGAAAGAGTCAGTAGTAAGTATTGTACTTTCCATTTGCTTTGGCATTAAGTAGATCATTTTGAATGAGGAATGAAAATACTTTCATATGGTTCTAGCCAGTTTTGCTCTTACCTGTGCCTTAGGCTGCTGGTGATTTTTGCCACTTAGGGGTTTTTGTGATGTGTGGTTGTGACCGTCAGCCACGTAGCTGAAACCCTTCGCTTCCCCACATACCATTTGTTTCCAGGAATAAGTGCACTGGTAACAAGACAGTTCTTCACTCAGTTTTTGTGTGAGCTGTGTCTTTAGGAGCTTTCCCACTGCTATAATCGCAGCTCCACTAGTAGCAAGTGAAACTCCCGAGGTGTGAGCTAGATGGTGTTTGATACCATTGCACTTGTTTTCCAGCTAGGCAGTAAGAACTCTCTGTGGTGATACAGAATCATCGAATCATTTGGATTGGAAAAGACCTTTAAAATCATCAAGTCTAACCCAGCACTGGCAGGTCACCACTAAACCATGTCCCTCAGCACCACATCTTTTTAAATTCTTCCAGGGATGTGGACTCCCTGGGAAAAAAAATAGACCCTGTGGCTACTCAATACCATCTCTGCTGTCCAGGTTGAATAATGGTGGAAGTTTCAAAGGACAGATAAGAAGGGGGTTAGTCATAGCCTGGGGTTATAAGATTGCCTCTTGGAACTGATGGAAAAGACCTGTAACTATAATGATAGTGTTTGCTGGGAGGAGGAGAGCAGACCAGTATTATAGTTAAACATGGACTTTTGCTGTGAAAGGGGTCTGCTACACATGTAGTGGAGGCAGGGAAAGATCCTTAGTTGTCTGAACTCAGGAAAACACTGAGGTGGTCTCAGAGCTATGGAAATGGTGGTGTCTCCAAGCTTCTCATTTGGGGTAAGCTCATGATACAGGACTTCATGAGTAGAGGAAGGATGGAAAGGACAATAATTCCTGGACAGCTCTTTGCCCTTTGTGTCTTGGATAACAAATCTCTGTTCACATTACAGAAGTTGTCAGAACAGCATCATTATTGCATAGCTGTCCTTGGTTTCCTTTGCTAAGAAGCCATTCAGGAGTTAGGAGCATTGCTGTGGTGGCATCTTTGGCTTTTTGTTGTCACTCCACTTGCATGCCACAAGCCTTACACTTGTTTTGCAGCCTTCCCTCCAAGTCCTCAGAAGGTGGCCTGTCTAGAAGACCACTATTGTTTTCCAGAGCTTTCTTTTGGGGTTGTAATGTTTGTCTTGGGATTTCTTCATCCTTCTTTAGAAGAAAAGGATACAATTTCCAGGTATACAGTGTTTGGGTTGGTTTTGTTTTGGGTTTTTTTTTTTTTTTGGTTTTTTGTTTTTCTAATCAGTAGGTTTTGGTTGGCTGTAGATGTCACTTTGAACCCAGAGACTATTTTCTGAACTGCTCAGAGTGGTGCAGTTCTGCTTCTGCTCTTCCTCAGAGCCTCTAGATGCTTTTTTCCTTCTTGCCCTGGTGGGGTTGGTTGAAGTCAAGTCTATTGACTGTTGGAGAGATCATCACTTCTGTGAAGTTTTTGGTTTAGGTGGGTGTTTTTAATTTTTATACTTTTACAAGTCACTGCAGGTTAAGATTGTGGATTGTGCTCCAGCACCTTGTTTCCTCCCCAGATTTAAATTTTTTTTTTTTTTTTCCAATGGAGCAGACACATTGAGCCACGTGTTTACTGTAAATTTGAAATTCCAGTGTTTAAAACTGAGAAACCCACCAATGAAACCTATGAGTTCTATAAGAAAAAATTCCAATTAACTGAAAACAAAACATAAAGATTTCCATCTTATCCCAAACTGTAGCAGGCATACTGCATTTTGCTGTAATATATATTTAAAAAATTGAGTTAGCAGGCCTGTTAAAGGAGATGTTCTAGAGAAGATTGAATATAATATGATTATTATGTCTTGTTGGTCTCTAATAACTTTAGAATCCCTCTAATAAGGATAGGAATAATAAATCTTCATTTATTCATCATTCGTCTTCAAAGCTGATTTCCAGGGCAATACATAAGAACTATAATAATGTAAATACCAATGAAAAACAAGATGCTATGATAGAGCCATAAGCATTGTTGATTCCAGCATAAGTTTTAATAATGTAACATCTCTTGTAGATTCATTTTATTTGTGCCTTTTTAAAAAAATCTTGGGGTGTTCATCTGGGGAGGACATCATTGTCATAATTCCTTGTGTAAGAAAATAACTGGTAATTTCTTGTGGGGAAGAAAGGTTTTAAAATGTGTTTATTAATCTGAGAAGCTAATCCAGATCTTCATATAAAGCCCTGTGTGCTTTGCAAAAGTGAGAGTAAACATGGAAGGTGAGAATCTTCTGGCAAATTGAGAATATCTGTGCTGCAATTTCCAGGTAGGATTTCTGTTACAAGCAGCAGCTCCAATTGGTAAACCAATCTAAATAAAGCTGAACACAAAGCACAGTAGTTTATAAACAGACTTATCTGAGGACAGCTGGGAGAGTGCAAGAAAATGAAATCTTGAGCATTGAGGTATCGTAATGAGATTGAAAAAATGATGAATGCACATAGTATTTGACTACATTACAGCTTCTGAAGCATCTTTACAACTTTCCTGGTTTGCAGGAGAGACCCTTGTTTCAGAGAGGGACAGCATGGAGAAGAGGTGTGAGGGACCTAATGTCAGATCACTTGCAGCTGTTCACGCCCTTCTCTCTGCTCTGCTCTTCCTCTCTTGTGTTTCTCAACAGTTCTCTCCTGTGTTAATATTTCTTCCCAAATCTTTTGAAAATGCCGTGGTTCAAAAGCCAAGCAGGGAAGTTAGAGTCAAGTATTGACCCATCCTGTATGGTGGCAGTCAGTCTGCAGTGTCAGGAGAGCAACAGCCCATCTCACAGGGAGGACTCCCCCCTTCTGTCACCATCGAGGAGCTCAGCTTAGCCACCCGAAACCAGCACGCTGCTCTGCAGGGCCCGTAACTGATCTGGAAGGAGGTAGCTTGATCTGGCTTCTTGTTTCACCAATGCTACAATTCAAAACCCAAATCTTTATAATGAGTTTTCTCATGTTAGTTTTTTCTTCCTAGATGTTTTATGGGTTTGTCTCACTTCTGCTAACCCCTGCCTTGTGACGGTCAGCTATTTCCTTCCTCATCCCCGTGGGTATCTCAGTCCTCTGCCCAGGACAGCAGAGCTCTGACTTGTGTGCATTTGGATTAAGTGCCAAGAGATACTAAAGTAACTGAAACTTTAACAACATGCCAGCTGTATACAGGAAGAGAGTAGCAAAGGGGGTTGGGGACTTACCTTTCCTGAATATACATTATCTTCTCTAAAAATATTGCACCCAGACCTTTTTAGGGATTACTCAGTTTTGAAGGCTTTTTCCTTGGTTGGCAGGCCTAGAAGTATCATCTTAGTCAAAGCTTCAGGGTCAGATTGTTGCCTAGAACACTTTAAATGTCTCTGAGCCTGACAAACTGTTCATACATTCATAATTAATATCAGATCAACTTCCTAAAACTGCCTTGTTCTTGTGCACAAAATTCTGCAGATCTTCTAGCCTTCTGAAGATATGAAGTTGGGGAGTTTTTAGATAAATTATAAAGGGAGGATAATATATTAGAAGTGTTTTCAGTGCATAACTGTTACCTTGTGTTACCTCTACCTTTCTTCAACCATCATAAACAAATGCTGAAGCTGCGAATGAGTTGCTTTTTCTGGCCACACTATCTTTCAGCGTGGCCATCCTCACTGAACTGGAACTGTCTGGAAAGAGGAAAGAGCTTAAGGAATGTGATCTGTCAGGTTGGCATCAATAGATGCCATGGTCAGAAGGTCTTGCAGCACTAGGCTTCACACAAACTCACGGCTCACTCTGCCTGGCAGTGTTCATTTTATTGACCCTGTTGGTCAGCTGCTCAGATACTAATTGCTCCAGCTCACTTGGCTGCCCTGATATGCTTCTGCAATGTCAGACCTTGCTCGTTTTAAGGCCAATGGTGGTTATGCATAAGGGGGCCAGCACCATGCAGTGTCCTAATACCTTACTGGATATTTTGAGACAATAAGCTTTTTAAAAGACATTTTCAAACACAAACATCTCTGGTACGACCAAAGGCACTTGTTCCATGTGCTGCTTTATCTGAGCTCCATGGAAGTGAGTGACACGTGGGTACTGTGAAATCCTGTTCTCAGGCTGCAAAACTTTGAATATGGCAGTGAGTTTCAAAAGAGGGGTTTTTCATTGCTGAAATTCTAATTCTTCTGAAAGGGTAATTTTCACATTCATGATTTCAGCAGCTCATGTTATAAAGTAGATTTTGCTTCAGTACTTGAAAACTTAAACACAGAGGAGTGCATTCCAGCATAGGGTTGAAGTGTATGAGCATCTTTCAGAATTATACTGGACTCTCTTTTTCCTCACTTCTTTTATTCCGTTGTAATGATATTTCTTTATTTTAACATCATCTTTGTTTTGATCCGCTCTGTTCCAACCCAATTTGGTGATAGCCTGCTTCTTCTCTAAGTACATACAGGTCAGTCCTAGATACATGCTTCAGGAAGTGAGAGAGAAAAATAGAACCAGAAAACACTTTGGTTTTATTTTCATGTGGAAAATGTAATAAAATAGCATTTGCTATCTAGGTTAAAGAAGTATTTGCGTAACTCTGAGAACACCTGTGGAAAGTCAATAATTTACTATTCTATTCCTATAAGGAAGCAACAGGTTTTAACTAATAAAAAAAAAATCCAAACAAAACCAAACCCCACCCTCAGGTTTTGTCTAGTCATGTATTCATGATCAATGTGTGCAAAGAAGGTGTTTTCCACATGAATTAAAATTCTGTATTTTCACCTTTTGTGAATAAATGTATCTTCTCTTCGTAGCACTTTTGGAACAGTTGCTGCTTTTGCAGTACAAGGAAGAAGCTGTTCTGGGTAAAACAAGCTCTTCATCCTACTCCAGCAAGTAAAAATACAGGGAGATAAATAAAGAATATAAAAAGAGCCTTTTGTAGAAGCTGTAACAGGCCAGCATCTCTTCAAGAGCAGGAACAGGTTTGCCTCATGAGGGGAATGAGCTGGGAGCTGAGGGTGACCCCAACACCTGCAGTGCCCCCACTGTTGGGGTGCAGCCCCACGGGCCTGAACACGGGCCATGGGTGCGTGCTGGTGGCAGGGTCTGTCAGCAGTCCCAGGCATGGCAGTGAACCAGGGCCAGAGTCCATCCAGGGAGTGCAGTGAGGAGCAGCCGGAGGCCAGGCTGGAGACAGGGACGGGGTCAGGCTAAGGCTTGCCTGGCACCTTTGTTCTGGAGAGAAGATAGCTGCACCATGGGCTGAGGTCCCACCGGGAGAGTGGAGCAGAGGCAGGCTTAGAGACAGGCAGACCTGCTCTGCCAAGGACTGAAGGTTCAGGCCTCAGCTGAAACAGAGTTCCTGGACCCATGGGCAGAGGGTACAAGTAAGGGTTTTGTGAGGCTGGTCACGGCCTCTTAGGGCCCTCGGGGCTCTGACAGCATCTCTTTATTAATTGTGAGCTTTACGTAATGATTGTGATTGAACTAGCTCTCCCTTCTCCTACTTCTGTTTTAACTTGCAAGTGGAGAAATGCTGGTCTGGTGGTCTTTAGGGATTAGAACCGAGTCGGTGGAAAGGTTCCTGTAGGCTCCAGGAAGATAGCTTGACACTTCTAACAAAATTAATTTTCAGCATCTAGTTTCAGTGATCCAGCAGTGGAGAAAACTAGTTCAAAAATCATGGTAGAGTAGCTTCTTAAATACCTGGTTGTTGGAAAATTGCCTAGTTGTGAATGATTTCAGGTCAGTAGAGCAACAGTGGCTGAAGATGTTCCTCGGTAAGGCACAGTGATCCCTGTGGAACCCATCACTAGTAATAGTGGTGGGGTTCTCATTCAGGGAGAGTTAAAGAGCTTGTCCCCACCCTGCAATGCTATATCTTTCATGATGAATAAATTCTATTTTGATAGCACTCCAGAGTCTATTTGGACTGGGCCAGTGATTGCCTGAGTGTTGGTAAAGACATATCATACTTCCCCCTCACTTTCTCCATATCTCATGCGGCAGTTGCAGCCTCTTTCATGCCATTGACCTCATGGCTGAAGAAGCTTTTTGCTCATTTTAAGTCAAAATACAAAGAAAGGAGAAGAAAATACTGGTCTCAGAAGCTGATCACATCCACCACTGGTGAGCAAGCCTCTGCAAGGGAGCAGATTCACCGAGCAGAAGCACAGAAACAAACAGCTTCTCTTTACATGCTGGAGGAGTGTTCTCACCCAGGTTTTGCATTGCTACGCCCTCAGCTCCATCACAGTCCAATCTAGTGGCTGACTTGCCAGATCAAGCCTTCCTGTGCTTAGTCATGACCACTCCTGGCAGGAAGCAAAAAACAAGCAATAAGGAAAAACGGTGTGTATTTGGAGTTCAGTCTTCTGTTATTTCAGCTCTTTCCTTTGAAAACAATCAGACTCTGAATGAGATTACTTGCCCAAATGGATAGCACATCTTTGGCATATAAATGTTGCTGAGGTTTTCCTACCTGTAAGCAGGGAAAAAGTGACTAAATTTAACAAAATAATTTTTTTTCCTGCTTTTTGAGATTGTGTCAGATAACTGAGCTGATGTAGCAGAGTGTGGCTCTTAGCTTAAAAAATAATCCTTGTAACTTCAACTGTGCTTGATATCTAGCCAGAAGATGCAAAGTGCCCTTCTTCTTTGCAGCCCTTTTAATGTATAGTTTGACGTCAAACATTCAACTTCAGCATTTAACTTGTTGGTTGAAAAGCTGCATGTGAGCCAGCAGCATGCACTTGCAGCCCAGAAGCCAGTGGCAACTTGGGCTGTATCCAAAGCAGTGTGACCAGCAAGCCAAGGAAGTGAGTCTGCCCCTCTGCTCTGGTGGGACTCCGGAGCAGCTGCAGGTCTGGCTCCAGCTCTGGAGTCCTCAGCACAGGAGAGCCAGGGACCTGTTGGAGCAGGGCCAGAGGAAGCCACAAAAATTATCTGGGGGCTGGAACCCATCTGGTGTGAGGCCAGGCTGAGAGAGTTGGGGTTGTTCAGCCTGGAGAAGAGAAGGCTCCAGGGAGACCTTATTGTGACCTTTCAGTACTTAAACAGGCCTATAAGAAAGATGGGAACAGTCTTTTTAAACAAAGGGTGATGATTTTCAACTAAAAGAGGGGAGACTCAGACTAGATAGAAGGAAGAAATGTTTTACACTGAGACCCTGGCCCAGGTTGCCAAGAGAGGTAGTAGATGCCCCATCCCTGGAAACATTCCAGGTTTGGACAATTGCAGAGGTTGGACGGGGCTCTGAGCAACCTGCTCTAGTTGCAGATGTTCCTGCTCACTTTGGGGGGGGGGGTCAGTGTTGGACTGGATGAGCTTTAAAGTCCCTTCTATCCCAAATCATTCTATGCGTCTATGAACTTGGCTTTGCAATAGTTGAAAATGTGTGTGGATAATTTTGCATTGGAAAACTGAAGAAAGAGGAAATGGCTCTTTATTTTTTGTGAAACCATAATTTTGTAAATTTTTTCTCTTGTGTAGGAATGAATTTGAAATTGCTTGACACCTGAAAGAGTATTGGACTTAAAGAAGAACAGATGTCCATAAATTAACTAGATAGATTTCAGAATCTAAAGTTGTCTTCTGGTGGTTAATGTCATGCAATGTTTACAGTCCTTTGTCATGATATTAGATGAGGGAATTATTCTACAAAGTCTGTCTACTTAGTGTATTTATACAGCACTTCTCTGGTGCAGCTGTTTATCTGCTTTACGGCGGTGCCTGGGTTTCCAGCCTGGAGTCTGCTGGCTTTGGCATGATCCACACGCAGTCAGGCTCAGCACCTTGAGAGAGGATTTATGCTATAGGGAGAGAAGGTGAACCAACTATCTCTCTGTGGGGAAACTGTGGAGAAACAGCTATCCCCATTTTAGGGGAAAAAATTAATCACAGGCAGGTCATAACTTCCCTGCTTCTAAGTTTAATGGAATATTTCACCTTTTACAGTCTGCAGTTGGTATCACAGCACTGAAAGGAGATGGATCAGGGGATGGGGGGACTCCGAGGGCACCCCTGGATTTGTGCACGCAGTTGATATGTGGAAAGAGTTAACATAGTTTTATTTTGGGGAATGACTCTCCCCACAAGCTGCTTAGCTCCATGAGGAGTGTAGTCCGAGTTGAACCAAACGAGGCGCATGGGGCGTGCGTTGGGGTGCTATAAATAGGGCTGTGCATCCGCCCTTGGTATTGGCTAGAAAGAAGCCAGGATGTATTTTCTGGCAGCCTTGATGCTGGAGGAAATCCGTTTATTTTATGGTACAAACAAACTTTTGGTTTTTTAACTTGGTCTTTTAAAGACACAATCCTGTGCGTTCATTGCCTACCTGTAGGTGCAGTGTGACTTTTGTTGTTTTCCAAGTGTATTATTTGGCCACAAAACAAAAAAAACCCAAACAAACAAAATGATAAGCAAAACTTCCAAAGACTGAGGAAATCCTCAGTCTGAGGGGTAATTCTGCAGTTCCCCAGGTTAACCCTGTGAAGTTGCGTGCATGCTTATTCATTTCAGCGACATAAGGCTGTAATGTTATAGTGGGCATACATACTGGTAACATACATATTAAATATAAAGAAAAGACACCTGGCCAGTAAGTATTTGTGCACCCTTGTGTACGCAGCCAAAGATTGCTTTCCAGGTTAGCTGCTTTGCAACTTTGGTTTCTAAAAAGCTGCCAAAATGCTTTGCTGTCCTGTGCTTGGACTACACTGAAACATCTGTTTGCTAATGTTGAAGTTGTTTTACTGTTAGGTACTTCATCAAAACACTGAGACATTGTGGGTGTTTTAAATAAATCCTATAACTCAGTGGTCACATGTCATCCTCAGCCAAGGACAAGACTGGCAATGCTCTGTTTGAGCTTGCATAACAAAAAACATAGGGAGAAACCTGGAAATCATAAAGTTGCTGCCTCATGGGCTTATAAAAAACAAAGCCTGTCTTCTGCTGATTGGGAGTAATCATGCCCTGCTACATGCCTTTTCTTCTTATCTGTATGGGGAGGGCTCTGGCAAAAAGGATCAGGCTTAGGGTGCTATTAAATGATGTGTTTCCTTTCTGCTCTTGTAATGGGGGTGCTGCAAGGGGCTGCTCAGGCGACGGGCGTGGAACACTTCGTGTTTCCCCTTGCTGGGAAATAGCATGAAGTCGCCTTTGTTTCAGGGTTTATGGTTTGGGGAATGATCTTGGTCTATTCAAAGGGAAAAAAGGGCATGTAGGTTGGTGGTTTTTTTTTTCATGGAAGTCTCCTAAATTGTGTTAATGATTTGCATTTATTAAAATTGCATACATTTTATCCCCTGTATTTTGTCATCAAGTATATATCAAATTTCGAAATGTAGGAACTTGTGTGCATCTTGAGATATTTTAGGCTGAAATTCCTTGTCTAATATAAGTGCTCTAAGCACACATTTCTTAGTATGAACTTTTTTTTTTCTCTATTGTGTGAAGCGTTCTTTTCTCACACATTGATATTTTGCTTCCTTTTAAAAAATACTGCCCAGAGAGAAGAGGAGGAGGCATGGAAAATCACTGTTTTTTTAAAAAAATTATATTCCTTTTCTAGGCAGTAATCTTTGCACTTCCAGCATATCCTAAATGTGCATGTTCATGTATTATTTGCACGGATTGCTTTGATGTGGCTGCAAGACAGCAGGCAATGAACATGGACAAGTACTTCTAGTCTCATAAACAGGTTATGTTCCTCATGGCAGCAGGGACAAGGGAGGAGATCATTAGTGGTAAAGACAGCGTGGAAAAGCACCAGCCACGTGTTGCAGAGAGCGAGGAGTTAATTTGCAGCTTGCATGTATGGAGAGGTGGAGATGTTAAACCAGACATCTCCTGTGACTGAATGGGGCTTTGAACCAGGCAGCTGGTCGCTGCCCAGTGTCACTCTGATCCTGGGAGTTTCTTAGGGTGTTCCCATCCTTACTGTTGATTGCTGGAATGATACAAGTCTCCCTTGGCACCCTGTGGGTGGTAGGTATTTGCTTTCAGGGATTTAGATAAAGTTTTTGCAACATAGATGCTGCTGGGGGAAGTAGGCATCTTTCAGAGATAACAAATTAACTCTTAACGTTGTAACCAGAGTAAAAAATTAATCTTTCCAATAGGTTAATTTTGTAGCTCCTCGGGTGGGCTGTAAGTAAAGTAATGTAATTAACTTTTGTATCTTTTGCATCTGGAAATGTGTGCTGTGTTTTATAAATCAAGTTTTCATTAGTTCCACACCCTCCTCTCCTGGTTCACAGAAAGAGTAGCAATGAGGAGACATTTGTGCTCATCATGAATCTCCAGTGCATTATTAGTCCTGGATAATTCTCCTGTCCCTTTCATAGTGCAATTAATAGAAATGAAATAGCTGTGGATTTACAAATGTTCTTTGAGGTACGTGAGCAGTGAAAATTTGATAGAAAATATAGAGGAAATATACTGTGCTAGAAAGGCTGTGAAAATCCATTTCAAGCCATGTGTTGCGGGGCAACAATCTCATTTAATAGTTGACTGATTGAGACTAGCATTACTTGTTAAGTAAAGAGGAATCAGCTTTTTTATTGACAAGGAAACTGAAGAGTTGCTGTAATAGGAAATGTGTAATTGTGGGGATGTGGAGCAGTAATGACTCTTATTTTCCAGGGAACTCTTGGGTGGCTCATTTCAGGAGAGGGTTTTGGGGTCTGAAGCAATTGATCAATATGTTAGCATGGCTGGAAGGAGCAGGATCTCTGTTGCTGTACAAGGGATGCTTGTTGTAATGGTCGAGCATTTTTTCTGGAATCTGGGTAGTCTCTGACAGATGCTATGCTAAAATGATGAACTTTTTGTGTTGGAGTACATAGAGGGCTCCTGGCTGGGGAGAAGTCAGGAGAGACTGAGAGTTTCATTAACAGTATTGAAAACTGAAAAGAATTAAACATTTAGTGGCTGGTGGGTTGGGTTTTTTTTTTCACTTTCTAAGGGAGAATTTCAAAAAGGAGCAATAGAGTTGAATTAGCTTTCCTGACCTGGCTGCACTGTGGTGTCTAGGGTGGCTGAGGTGACAACTTTTGGGTTGGCATAAAGATAAGTTTCCAGTATGTGGCATGGAGAGGCAAGGGGAAAGCACCCACCTCTCCTCTGCAGCCAAGAAGGTCTTGCCATCCCTGCCTACAAGCTGGCGAGGTTTTCAACACCTAGTTGGATCACAGAAGTTTTAGCCTCTCCTGTGTTGCTATTTGTTACATTTTCAAGTTTGCTCCCCAGCCTTTTCTCTCATTTCTTCCTTCCACAACAAAGAGATTTATGGCCATGAAGCCAATTCTTCAAGCTTTGGTTTTGCAGTTTCTGAGTATCAAAAAGTGTCTTCTTCAGGGCAGTGTCACACAATTTTGTTTCAGAATAAGTTTGTGGTGTTTAAATATAGCAAGTGATTGGAAATGTTGAACTTGCTTCTCCTTGCAGGGCTGGCCCTGTGTTGATCCCCTGTTGTGGTGTGAGGCTGTGGGGCAGAACACTGCAACCTCGATCCAAAAGCCTACCTGGTGGCTTCAGGCAAACAACAATATTTTCAAGGTTTTCCTCCTGTCTCTTCCTTTAATTGATCTCTCTGCTGCTTGTTTCCTCTTCTGCTTTCATTTCTCAATTTGATCTTTTTAGTGGGCTGGATAATTGCATTTACTGAGTATCCTTCCTGCCAAGCACCATGGCTGTAATCTCCCCCACCTGAGAAATGGTTTCCTTTGAACAACCTGGCATCTGGCTCAAAGTTATGTGTTAATTAAATTAAAAAAAAAATTAAAAAACAAAGGGTGTCTGTGTATATATATATATGTTACAGAGTTTCAGCAAGCAAAAATCTGCATAGCTGAAAGATAGTTATGAGAACACAGCACCAGCACTGATTTTTGGCTTAATTACAGGCAAGTGCACAAAAATCCTTAATTATACTATGACATGGCTATTTTTTCAATACCATCTTATGCATTGAGTTTCCTCAGATCTTAAATATGTATGCATGTCTGGAAGATATGGAGGTTGTATCCTTTAGAGCCTAAAGCACAAGTCTTGTGAGGAGCAGCTGAGGGAGCTGCAGTTGTTTAGCCTGCAGAAAAAGAGGCTCAGGGTAGACCTTCTCACCCTGTACAACTGCCTGAAAGGAGGTTGGAGTGAGGTTAAGGTCTGTCTCTTCTCCCAGATAACAAGTGATAGGACAAGAGGAAACAGCTTCAAGTTACACCAGGGGAGGTTTAGGTTGGACCTTAGGAAAAAATGTCTTCCCCAAAGGGTTGTCAAGACCTGGACCAGCCTGCCCAGGGCAGTGGTGGAGTCCCCATCCCTGGGGGGGATCGAAAAGCCATGTAGATGTGGTGCTGAGGGACATGGTTTAGTGGTGCCCTGGCAGTGCTGGGTTAATGGTTGGATTGATGATCTTAAAGGTCTCTTCCAGCCAAAACAATTCTATGATTAAGAGACTACAAGCAAGGCAGAGATTGTTTGTTCAGTGGTAACTGTATTTTAGGCTGTTGATGTTGTATTTTTAAGTCTTTTTCTGAGGTAATGAAATGGCTTCTGAGTTTTTGGTACGTTTTCCCATGTTTGAGCCAGCTGCTGGCAATGTGTACCTGGCTGGAGGGATTCATTGGTGGAGGTGGCCAGAGGGTCCCTGACCTTCTTGTCAGAAAACTGTGATGGAGCAGAGCAGCAGCAGAGTGTTGCCTTCCTTCGTGGAATCCAGGGAGGGTTTGACATTTCTGATTTTCCCCCTACCACATGTAGGCAAATCTGTGAGCCCCCTTGTGTTCCAAAGAAGTGTTTTTCAAGTGATTTTGTGTGCTGGATGTTTTCCACTTGTTCATGCATCTTCTCATACTTCTCTTCACATAGAGAGATTTAACCCTAAGGAGAATGGAGGAAGTCTGAGCAGGACTGTCCAAATGTAGAGCAGCCTTGGGAACTTTCTGGCCACGAAGGAAACCA